TGGATATGTGCCTCTGTCAAAATGATTCTTGAGGGCAAATGCCATGGTGAAGTTGGCTTTACAATGCATGCAACTCAAACGTCCAGGAAACATATCCATGCTTGGGCGAAAAGGGAACGAGCTAGGCTTATCAATTTGATGAACATTTCGAAGATGGGGCTAGCTACAGCTTTACGTCCAAGGTGCTCACAACACAACGGACACTCGTGCTCCTGAATGGGAACCGGAGTCTCAGTGGTTGTGGCACGAAGGCGATTGGCAATGGTGATTGGAGGTTCCTCAATTGTCGTGGCATGGGCTGTCTGTTGATGGGCCTGCAGGCTGCTCAAATTCAAGAAACAGGCATGACAGGTGGGGCACTTATGGAGTGCTGCTTGAGGTTTACCCTCTGCGACATGGCCGGGGGCATCTATCGGATCAGCATCCCCTCCATTCGTACGAGCACGTTTCGCTGCCGGCTCAGTGTGCGGCTCGGACTGGTGGTCAGGGCCTGAGCTCACGGTCGAGGACCAGGGACGTGTTCGAAGGGGCATGATGGGAAAATGCTCAGGACTCATGACATGACCGGACATGGCTGCAAATTGATACATGACAGCACAGGTGTGCTTCTGGATATCAAGGCTTTTGCATTGACACATGGGATATTGTCCTTTGCCAGAGACCAGATTGGACAGGCCACTCACAAAGTCATATTGCTGTTTGGCTGGTCCAACAATCTCCGGATGAGAATCCGTGTAATGCCGTGTCATGGCTCGGGCATATACTTGCAAATTACAGAATGCACAGCGTGTGGCAAGTTCGGCACAAAGGGCTCTATCGAGCATGAGACCCATGAAGGATCGATGTCTGATGTGCATTCTGAGCTCTTCCCGGGCAACGATGGGCTGAACGGTGGCCTGGGCGGCATCGAAAGCATGGCAAACTCTCTTGTTGATATGATCTCTTAATGCATAGAACGTGGTAAATTGATGCTTGCAATGTCGACACACGGTTCTACCTTCATAGGAATCTCGTAAAGGTCGAAAAATATCTTCCGGGAGACACGGAACCTGATGCTGCTGTCTAAGATGTTTCTTGAACATCCCCACCTGTGCAAAGTGTCTTTGACACTCAGGGCAGGCCAAGGAGGCCTGAGGCATGGGTGGCGTCGGCGGAACATATGTATGCATGTCACATGGTGGATATGCAGGACTGAGGGTGCAGACATCCTGATGTGGCTCAGCGGGCTCCATCAAGCTCTGGATCTTGTTGGCCAGAGCTGTGGTCAGCTTACGATGGTGTTCAGCTATGTGTGTCCAAGGTGGTTGAACTACAAGTCGATTGAAGAAGTCCGTGGTGTTTTCATGAGTGAGATGCACAGGTGAGTGTGTTATACGCCTATAATGAACGTTAAGCATGCTCACAATGCGTCTACAACATGAACCAGGCAATCCCATTTCATGAACTCCGTACAAGACCGTGGGCATCACACACTGCTGATATAATCGAAATCTGACCTGTGCAGGAATGGATTGTGCCTGGAGCCACCGCTTGAGGATTGTATAGCAGTGTTGGGCTGCTTTGATTCTACGTGCCGTGGTGTCTGTCTCCCATGCTCGATAGGAGCACGCCCAGGTACGTTGTTTTGGCAACTAAAGGCAGTCGAAAGGGCGTGTCTGGGATCAAAAGCTGGGGACCGTATTTAGTCCTGCAGATCAAAAGGCGAATGAACTTAGAGACCCCCTTTCCAACAGCCCGAAAGAGAACAACACTTTTGGTGGCATTGATGTTGAACCCAAAGGAACGAAAGATGTGCAAAATATGAGCAAGGTCTCCAATGGCACATTGGCCATCTGCAATAATGTTCAACGTCCAACGGAGGGGGACATCGTCGGCGTAAACGATCAGGTGGTCGTGCAGCCATTCATGGGAATACCTTTGAAGGAATTCCTGCATTATGAGATACATACAGAGGGTCCAGAGGATAGGCGCATCGGTTGATCCCTGCTTAATCCCTCTTGAAGCATCTACGGTCCCAACCAAGGATTTGAAGGGAATGTGATACTTATGGGGGCTAACCAGGTCTAGATTATGTGGAATATATCTGGTGAGAGGTCAATCTGGTTCAAAGCATGAAGCACGATGTCTCGACGGATTGTGTCAAATGCCTTTTCCATGTCGAATGAGACCTGTAGACCACCATATAGTCCTCGAGGACTGGCATCCATTTGCCGGTCACGGCAGAGCTGGCGAATTTGCTGGCAGTGCTGTGAGACTCGAAGGAGACACTCTGTGGTGCCTCGTTGCGGGAGGTATGCATAGAGCGGCAGGCGTCTAAGTATGGGATAGGCATGTTGTTTAATGAGGGTGGTTAAAATCTTGGAAACAACTTTGAGAATAGGATGCTGGAGGCAAATGGGTCGCAATGCAGCAGGCTGTGTGCTGGGTTTACCTGGCTTAGGAATCAAGTGCAACCAGCCTGCAAGCCAGTGATTGGGTGGTGCCACTTGTTCTGCACACCAATGATGTTCAATGGCAGCATAGATCGGACCCGCAAGCTCCCTGCAAGATGGCGCCAAATGAGGGCGGGCATGCAGGGTGGAGCCAGGACTTTCATAATTGGTAAGTCTTGAAGACCCTGCAACACATCTTCCTGGGTAAAAGGAAGGGTTTGGAGTGCAACCTTACCAGGGTATTGAAAGGATGCATCTAGAAAAAGTTGGCCAAAGAATTCTTCAATTCGTTGTAGTTCCAGGTGTGGGTTGAGGGGTTGTCCATGATCATCATACATCTGGATCTTCTGAGGACGTTGCTTTGGACATAACTTGCGGACCTTGCGGTACCAATCATATGTCTGATGACGCATGGCCAGGTCAGCACCTTCCTGAAGGAAATCTTCTAGTTTTTGCCTTTTATTCTGGCGGCTGAATTGGGGAACCTGCTTGTGATATCATCGAAACAAAGCAAGGTGCTTCCAGGCCGTGAAAAGGGAAGCGGTCGACCGATCATTCAGTGCTCGAACTAGTTTCCGGGCCTGCCACATGCGGGCAGTGATGGATGCAAGTGGGTTGCATTCAACTGGTGTGGAGGTTTGTTTGGGAAACCACGTTTTGCAAAGATCTGTCAATGAGCACTCAAGTTGATTAAACAAGGAAGGATCATGGGCAGTGGTCGAATGCATGAGCTGTCTGGCCTTCTAACAAAACCCTTGCCAGCGTTGAGTGTTCTGCTTCATGTCCTGTCGAATGCGGTGGCGGTCGAAGAGAACAATCGGTTTAGGTCGTGGGCCTGGGTACCATGTGGGGATGGTCCGAATTAGTGGATGATGATGTGGGCCAAGGAGGCCAAAATTGAAGGCAAAATCATCGAGAAGTTGGGGTTCAATCAGAGGCCAACCCTGTTGTGTACACTTTATAGGGTATATAATTAAGGGGAGTATTAAAATCACCACAAATTATTACCTAATGTCGTTGAGGCAGGCGTTCAAGACAGTGCTGCAAGAGAGTCCAAATGTGTTGATTTTTTCGAAAGGATCTGACGTGTTCCGTGTTGCAGGAACCAGGCCTGTTGGTAAACGATCACAAAATCGTGTGGTTTTGGGAGGTTCAAACATACCTGAAGCAAGCGGTCACGTGCATGATGTGCAATCGAAATCTAATCCTATCAAACAAAGGTTGCACGCACCATAAACAAGATAGAAGCAAAATAATTGCAAATATAAAGATCAAAATAATTACAAGATATATTTGCTAATTGGTTTCGATTTCCCTTGGATATTTTAATCAATTATGAAATATAGCATTGGAATAATATCCCCGTATATATTCGTTAATCCTAAAATAGAATGAAATCCAAGATGAAATCGAATATCGAATATCCCATAATCCATTGCAACATTTCGTAGATTTTAATCAATTTGCAAATATTAAATTGCTAAATTTCGTGGGAAAGATAAATAACAACCTCCCTAGTGCAAAATAAATCCAAATTTCATTAGGATATTCGCAATAAATATTTTTTTTTTTTTCATAATTTAATTCAATTTAATAAATATATTAACCGAATATTAAAGAAAACAAATTAAAATAATTATTCTTTTCTTTAATCATCAATAACGAAATCAAGAACAAACATTCAAATATTTACAAAAATCGATATATTTTTAACACCAAAATTAACTTTAAACAAAAATATTAATTATTTACTATTAAACAAAATAAAATTCACCAAACCGCAATTTTCTCAAACGAAATCTAATCATTTAACCATTCCCCCCCTATAAAATTTCTATAATAATTGCATGCAAATAACAATATAAAATATATAATTAAAAATAAATATTATATACATATCTTTATCACCATAAATCCAATATATTCAATCGAATTTTCAATATCATTAATACCTATACCTTCCGGAAATTAAAATATATTACCAATTATATCTACAATATATAAAATCATTAATTTATATTTAAATATTTTCCAATTATTTATTTAATCTAAATAAATAACAATAATTCAAATTATTAATTCGATAAATTATATTAATTTTATTTTTTTAACAAAATATAATCATATCCATAAAAAAGATATATATATTTATTTTTGTAATATTACAAATATAACCAATTTCATCAATTCGATCAATTTTATCCAATCAAAAAAAAATTTAACATATTCCAAAATCATCATCATCAATAATCATTATTATAATACTTAAATCAACAAATATATATTTGTATTCCTATATCTATATACATTCCCCCTTCCCAAAAAACCTTCATACAACCACCCCCTCCACCTCATAAATTAATATCATTCAACCTAACCTTCAATAAATATGCAATTTGCAATATTAATATAACAATATACATATTTGTGTAAAATATGATATCATAAGAATGAACATATAAATCATACATATGTTAAATATATTTATATATAACATATAATTAAATCTAATGTTTGGGTGTATTTGTGATTATATTTATATTATATAATCTAATATGATTCAATTTTGCAGATTCCCGACATCTTCTAGAACAATATAGATTTCCAATCAATCTATATAGATGTCAATCGCTTGCAGCCTAGCTGCCAGTCCGGTCTCCTTCTCTCAGTCTGAATCTTCCGCAGAGTGCCTGAGAAAGGATCTTTGGGTATATTAATTTACAAAGAGTCACTGATTTTGTTGATTTCCGGCATTTTGTGTTTTTCACACCAAGGCAAAATGCAGGGGTGGTCTAAATCTCTTGCAACAAAGACATGACAACACAGCGACACGAAACCACAAGATTTGTCACGTCAATAACAGCAGCTGTAGAGCCCAAGAAAAACACTTACAAACAATAAACATCACATGAAAAACAGGAGATTGAGAACAAAAACAAGGACAATGACAACAACAACAACAACAGCAAGGTACAAAAAAACTGCAGCCCCGTTACAAGATATCTTGTTCCTTTGTCTCTACAAGAGGGTGGAAACAAAATCTGCAACCCTGTCGTTGTTTTTTTGAACCCCCCCGAAAACAACCAGCCAACATGTACTTTTACCAGTAGTGGTAGTGCTTGTACTAGTGCTTGTACTAGTGGTACTAGTACTAGTACTAGTACTAGTACTACTAGTACTACTACTACTACTACTACCCCTACTACTCCTACTCCTCCTACTCCTACTCCTACTCCTACTACTACTACTACTGCTACTAGCAGTAGGAGTAGGAGTAGGAGTAGGAGTAGTAGTAGTAGTAGTAGTGGTAGTAGTGGTAGTGGTAGTAGTAGTGGTAGTGGTAGTGGTCGTGGTCGTGGTAGTGGTAGTGGTAGTGGTGGTAGTGGTAGTGGTAGTGGTAGTAGCAGTAGTAGTAGTCGTCGTCGTGGTGGTGGTGGTAGTCCGGTCAGCCAAGCCTCTGTAAAACTTCTACTTAGAACCTCTACCACATACTAGAGACAAAAACTGCAGCCCCGTTGTTGTTTTTTTTGAACCCCCCCCCTCAGAAGATGTTGTTGTCTCTACCCCCCCTAGAAACAAAATCTGCAGCCCCGTTGTTGTTTTTTGACCCCCCCCCTCCAGAACAACATCCCAAAAAATCAAAAAACAAGAAACAGACCAACCAAGACTTGAGTACCACAACGACAAGAAGTCCAGCTACTAACATCTCTCCAAACCTTCGACCCTATCCCTAGGCCCTAACAGTGCCCCTTTGAAATCCCTGACTTGCAACATGTGACAACTATGTTGGGCAGCTGTTTTTGTCTCTACCAATAACAACAACAACAACAACAACAGCAACAACAGCTACAGCTACAGCTACAGCTACAACTACAACTGTTACTACTGCTACTACTGCTGCTGCCGCCGCCACTACTGAATGACTCGTTACCTTGATCCTTATTACTTTGGCTTCGGTTTTCCTTGGTCCATCAGCTCGATGGATGACAACTGGTTGCTGTGGATTGCAAGGTTACAATTTTATGTGTCAGTGTTTTGTTGTATAAGTTTTGAAAACACAAATGATTTGATAAAGTGTTATGTTGTTTCTATAAAAAAGTATGGATGTGTCAGTGTTTTGTTGTTTATATTCGTTAAAGTACGTATGATTTGATCCTCTGATGTGGGGCCAGTCGTGCTGGTGGTCATGTTCTCTCTTTACTGCCCTCTGCGTTGAGTGAGGGGGCCTAAATGTGCCTAAAAAGCATGGTGCCTGAATTCCTGGCAGGTACCTCTATCAAGAATTGAGAGAAGCCGAACTGTGGTGACGACTGTCTGGTAGCGCATCACTTGGCAGCGCACTTGCTGCACTTGTCACCGTACATTTCAGTGCCCAAGTGAAACTCGGTGCCATCCGTCAGTGAGTTTTGGGGAAGCCACTGCGGTTGCCATGTCTCGGGGCCGTATGTGGGGAACGTGATTATCTATGTCAATGTGGAAAAGCAGGGCTTGTTGTTGGATTCACAGAGCGGCGCTCTGGTTGGTGAAACGAACACATGGTGAAGAAACGGTTCCGAAGACCCAGAGCAAGTCAAAAGAGATGAACAAAAATGGAGTCTTGAAAAACAACTGTAACAAAAAACAACACAGATGCCATGGTGCCCTTTGCTGTGACAAAGAACACCGGAGCCAAAAGAATTTCTTTTCAATATAACTGGTGTTCTAGTGGTGCCACGACAAGAAGAGCGAACACCCACCATCTGAAGGAGGCCTGGCAAGGCGGGCTTGAAGTAAAGTGACCGTTGAGTATGGGACTCCCATTTGTCATGGTTGCAGGAAATCAACACATCCCATGAATTGAGTGGAAATGACCAAATGACCGACCACACCTGGCCTGTTAGTAATACAGGTGGTGTTAAAGACATTCATGCCGGCATACCCTGAACAGGGAGACGACCGATGGGTTGCAGGCCCATTCTTTGCAGTCGAGCTTCAGCATTGCTGCTGCCTTGCTCTTCCACCTGCCAAGCTTGGATCCTTTGTGAACGACTTTCGCCACTGTTGTGAAGGAAAGGAGACAGCATTTTGTCCCTGCCCGCAGTGCTCATGAACGACTTGTTAGCACGACCACGACCGCCTTACCATGTCTGACTATCCGCCTTGTGTGGAAGTTGTTGGAGTCGATGGAGTTCCCTATCTTGTCTGACTCCCCTGGCTTCACATCCTTCGCCCTTTGAGAGGGTTACTACTACCTCTTCAAAACCATTGAAAATGGATGGCATGAATCGTATCTAAACTCCGAAGTGGAAATCACATTGAAGTGCTGGAACAAACATGTAGGTAGTGATCCTCCAGAAAATCATCGGAAACTGTTCGGCACACCTGTATACCTAGCAAGTTGCCGTGAATCGAGTCAGATCAACCTCTCTGGACCGACACACTGCATGTTTCAGCTCTGGAACACATCTTTGGGCAGCACCATGGCAGTTTGGCATCTTCATATCACACCCCAAACACATACGTTCTACAGATTCTACAGAATGTTTGTACTGGCGCACCCGGATTTCCCCGACCCACACCGTTGGCTGGTCTTTCCAGCCTCTCAGCCAAGGCTTCAGTTTCACTTTCACTGGTGCTCTCCTCGCCTAGAGGTGCTGGAAGGGAAGCGCTTCGAGCGGTGTCCACCGTGACTGGCCCCAAACGGAAGCGGCCCTCCGTCCCCAAAACGGAAGCCTGGCATCCGTGTTCCGCCGGGGAATGTGTTAACATCGGGTCTGTCGAGTTGGGGCCTTCATCGAATGAGAACGATGCCGCAACAGCGAATTCCTTAAGATGTGGATAGGAGTGGACCCAGCTTTTCGACGGACGGATTGAGACCTGGAATCTCATCTTCCATCTTCTGACCAGTTTTGGAGGATGATGGGCGATATGCTCTGATGCGTCACTCATCATCATGGGTGAGTCCCATTGGGTCCATGCGCGTCTCGAAAAACGGAACAACGGTCCCTTGGATATATCCCAGGCTAGTGCTTGCCTGGCCACATCCCAAAAAGCTCAAGAACAAACGGAATATCCACATCATCCACATCTGTTCCCTAGGGCCCACACACTTCCTGAGAAAGTGCCTAATTAGGGATGTTGGGATTGCTTTGAGAGTCAAGCACTTTGGGGATGTGTTTAGATCTAATTATATACACGGAACACATCCTTTATTACAACTATATGTATATATGCAGTATATATAGCATTTATTTATTTAATATAGATACTATAACTCGCATATAACTCGCAAACGTGAACACTTGTAATGTACGGATGCGATGCAAGGTGCAGCAACACTTTTTCCGACCAGCCTCCTTGATGGTTGCGGGACCTGCAGCGAAGTCGTACTGGGCACCCGGAGCGATGGGAAACAGCGTTCACCTTGCCTACAACCACTGGGGCGAAGCAAAAGACAAAACGACTCTGTAAAAACTAGGGTGCAGGAGATCTGTGAAGACAAGGGGATTGGTCTCCTTTGAGTTCCATGTCTTTGTCAATGTTCCGGTTCGCCTCAGCAAAGCAAAATCGACCCACCAATCCCAGTGGTTTGTTGATCTTCATCTTTGGTGGGGTCGTTTTCAGTCTGGTTGTCAAAGGCTGAATACTCTTCGGTCCAGTACAACATGGGCGTTCGTCATGGGATGGGTCCCACTCCAAACGTCCTGCCCCGAGAAATCGGGCCCAAAGGCCCCAACACATAGGGGCCCTGTTCAGTTCGGGTGTCTGGACTCCCATGAAGAGCCCGTGATCGGATTCTTAGGGTGGACAATCAAAGAAAGGGAGTAGTGAGTAGTCCCTTGATGAATCGAGCAGGTAGACAGCCTTCAGGCCGTCGGACTGCATAGGAGGGACTGCGGTCGGCTGCACCGTCGCTATCTGCAATGCGACCGTCATTCTTTGACCGTCATTCTTCAGCTGATCCTTTGACTTGAAGGTCCTTGAAGATCATAGTGTCACCGGAGAGCGAATGGAAAGTCTCTGAGCTTAAGCTAATGTTGCGTTCATGAATGTTCATGATTCATTTCTGCCTCATCCTTATGCACCATCCTTCTACCAAATCAGCATCCCAACAAAAAAACCACCCTTTCCCCCTAAGTTGGAGCGCCCGCCGGACCACCTCGCTATTGGAGACCCTCCAGAAACCTGGAACGCTGGGCTGCCCCGCGGAGGAGCCTTCGGCTTTGGGTCAAGGCCCACCTCCGGCGCTCGCGACAGCGCTGTGGTTCTTCGTTGGTTCCCAAACAGGTATTTTCACAAATCTGATCAAATGCAGGATTGAGCGAACGGACCCGATTTTGGGGGCAAGAAGGTAACTCTAAAGGAAACGGAACTAACATGGCCAGTTGATCAGGGATTGTCTAGTTGGTTTATTCCGTTTGTCATGGCTTTTTGCCCTATCGACTACTATCGACTGGCTCCCTCTGCTCATGATGAAGTAGACACCCGCCAATCTATGCATACCCTATACAAGTCAGTGACAAAAAGCAGCAACTGTGTGTGTGTGTTTTTCAATGAGGGACATTTGTTGTGTTGCCTGGCTTGCTCTGGCAACTTCATGGAGCTGTTACAGACAGTGCTCTGCCCCCCAGATCGTGAAGCAAAGAACCCAGTGCCCCTCTGGGTTGTCGATCCAATCCGAAGAAAGTCTTCAGACCTCCTCAATGATAATCTCATCATCACTGCTTTCTTCACCTGAAAGGAGCGACAGGACACCAGTCGTCTCGAGACAACTGGTGTTTTCAGCGGTCGCAACTCGGTGAGGAAAGAAACATGTTCAGCACCAAAGACCGAATTAAGCCGCGAAGGGAGGCAATCCACCCGTTGTAGCCTTCCAAACTGCGCGTGGCCCCACATACTCCTGGGATGCCAAACAATTTTCAATATTAATGCATTTTTCTACAGTTGCGCAGCATGCGGCCAGGTGTTGAGAACAGCTACTGTATATCTTATATATACTATAATATATATATATAGTGTCCTGAACTTGGTACGCTCCCTCGACAAAATTAACTCTCTTGATGTCCAAGAAATATGCCGATGCTAAATTAAATCTGATTCGAAGCCCAGTGACATCAAATGTGTGGCACCAAATCATCACCCAGCATCACCCAGCGAAAGTGTGGCTACCCTTCACTCCCCACCCTTCACGCCTGGTGGCCGTGTTGGCCGGCCGCTCAAACCTGGACCAGGTCGAAGACCAACAAGGGGTTTTCAAAGGGCCTTGCTTGAACTATAAAGCCCCAATAAACATCAGGACTCCACATACTTTAGAGTCCCAATGAAGACAAGCTTTAACATGGATAAATTGCGAATTCAAACAACAATCCCTGAAAATATAACCTGTTCAAAAACACGGCACTTAAAACAAATCAAAGCACGGCCCGAGGTTGCAGGTTCAATTGCGGTTTCCAACACAATTATATTTCAGTTTCCAAGGTGCTGGTGGTTCGGGAACGTTAGAGAAAACCTTCCAAGTCAGACAATTACCAAGATTGCCGAACTCGGTCCAAAGATAACCTGTAATTTCACAATTGGCCCCAAACTCCATTTAGTTGCACCAGAATGTAGTTGCAGATGCATTCTTATTGATAGTTGTTTTTTCTTTTTAAATGAGTGGTGTGCTAACCGACCACCTCAGGCAAATGTCAGCCAACCGACAAAATTGAGATGTTGCAGGCGAGCACAATCCACATGGCCTATTAGATACCATGCACTTTGGCCACAGTGCTGCATCTGCAGCCCAAGATGTCACACTCAAGAGCCATGGTACAGAAACAAGAACTCTTTGGCATTGCGTATGGCAGCTGTACCTGTCTGCTCATCTTGATCTGCCAGCGTGGCGTCAGAACTGGATCAGCTGCTGGAAGTAAGCTCTTCGAAGTGTGGATCAGCCGGAATAAAACACACAAACTTCATGAAACTAAATTGGAATCGTGAATCATGTGCATGCACATGATCACTCGATTGAGGGTCCGACATGGGCTGAATCGGGAATCAACACTTCCGTGTGACTGAGAAATAAGACTGAAACGGGTGAAACTCCTGTCAAGCCTGCTTCTCCAACATGAGCGGGGAGCCATACACCATCACGCCCATACAATCCGACCGAGTTTGGAGCCACAAAAGTCCTCACCCAACTTGCCTTGCTGAGTGAATTAGATGGAAATCATTATATATATGTCACTGCTCTCACATGACGGACTTTTCCTCCAAGGGGTTGCGCAGG